AGCCAAGATGGTGGATTGGGGGTAGCCACCCAGCTGAACTCTCCCAACAGTTTTCTTCAAACAAATTTTTTTTTTCCCAAACAACTTTAAAAACCAAATTTTTGGAGCAGCCAAGCCAACAGCTTAAGAGGTTAGCAAAAGAAATCTGACACCCAAATGGAAGCAAGTCTGGAGCCCACAGATGCAACAGTAGCAACAGCAGCTGCAGCAGCAGCAGCTTTGGGAGCTCTCAGCCCAGAGATGGTAAAAGGGGTCAGACAACTGGTCAGAAAGAGATCACAGAGGTCCTTTTGCTGGCGCTGGATATGGCTGATGCTGATTGGCAGCTCTACTACCCATGCACAGTTCTGGGTTGCGATTCTAGAGAAGAGAGGAGTGCTGGTGGTCAAAAGGGAGCAAGGGCCCTGGTCACAGTTCCAAAACAAAGAGGAGTACTGGTACTTGTGACTGCAGGGGAGTAGGGGCCCTTCCTGGATAAAAAACAGATTGCAGACCAGGAAAGCAATGACCATACCTCTCCCAGGATCACACCACCTTGAAAACATCTAAAACCTGCATACCCCCAGAACTAGCTCTGAAAACAGAAGCATGAAAAAGTCTAAAGCTTGGGACAGTGTTTCTCCACCCCTAGCTAAACAGAGCTCAACATTAAAGGAATAAATAGTCTGAGAAATGAACAAACAACAACAACAAAAAGAATTTGACCATAAAAAGAAAGCTACTATAGTGGCAGAGAAAACCAAGGAATGAACTCAGGAGACAACAACAATGAGAAAACAGTTACCAAAGCCTCAAAGAAAAATGCTCATTGGACCCAAACACAACAAGAACACCTGGAAGAGTTAAAGAAAGAAATGAGAATGATAAAAAAAAATGAGAGTGATGCAAGAAAGCTATAAAAATTGAATTAATAGTTTGGTAAATGAGGCACAAAAATTCACTGAGGAAAAGAACTTCTTAAAAAGCAGAAATGGCCAAATAGAAAACGAAGTACAAAAGGTTACTGAAGAAAATAATTCCTTAAAAATTAGAATTGAGCAAATGGAAGCTAATGACTTCACAAGACATAAAAAAAAACAATAAAACAAAGTCAAAAGAATGAAAAAAAAAGAATATGTAAAATATCTCATTAGAAAAAAAGCTGACCTGGAAAATAGATCAAGAAGAGATAACTTAAGAATTATTGGACTACCTGAAAGCCATGATAAAAATAGGAGCCTATATTAATATTTCAAGAAATTATCAAGGAAATTGCCCCGATATCTTAGATCCAGAGCATAAAATAGAGATTGAAAAAATCCACCAATCAACTTCTGAAAGAGATGCCAAAATGAAAATTCCCAGGAATATTATAGCCAAATCCCAAAGCTCCCATGTCAAAGTGAAAATACTTCAAGTAGCCAGAAAGAAACAATTCACACAGTCAGGATCACACAAGATTTAGTGGCTTCCACATTAAAGCAGCAGAGATATGATATTCTGAAAGATACAGGAGCTAGGATTACAACCAAGAATAATCTAACCATCAAAACTGAGTGTAATCCTTTGGAGGAAATGGATATTTAATGAAGTAAAGGACTTTCAAGCATTCCTGATAAACAGAGATGAATAGAAAATGTGATATTCAAACAGAAGACTAAAAAAAGCATAAAAAGGTAAATATGAAAGAATAACTATAAGTGACTCAATAAAGTTAAACTACTTACATTCCTATGGGGGAAGATGATACATACAATTCCTAAGAACTTTAGCATTATTGGGCAATTAAAAGGAATTTACATAGATAGAGGGCATGAGTGTGAGTTGATTATGTTGGAATGATCTCCAAAAAAATGAAAGAGTGTGAAAGAGGAATGCACTGGGAAAAGGTGGAAGGGAGAAGGACAATGGGGAAATTTTCTCATATAAAAGAAGTAGATAAGGAAGATATTTTACAGTGGAGAGGAAAAAGGGGATGGGTGGGCAATGTCTGAACCTCACTCTTATGGGAATTGGTTCAAAGAGTGAAGAAATGTGTGTATAGATGTATACATATACATCTATACACATACATAAACACATAGGCATACATATATATATATACACACACACTCAGTTGTATATGAAAATATAGCTCACACAATAGGGAAATTAGAGGGTAAGAGGAGGGATGATAAAAGGGAGGACTGGTTAAGGGAAGCAGTTGTTAGAAGCAAAATAGACTTTTTGAGAAAGAACGAGAGAGAGAGAAAAGAAGAAGAAGAAGAAGAAGAAGAAGAAGAAGAAGAAGAAGAAGAAGAAGGAGGAGGAGGAGGAGGAGGAGGAAGAGGAAGAGGAGGAGGAGGAGGAAACAGAAGAAAATGAGATGGAGGGAAATACACAGTAATCATAACTATGAAAGTGAATGGGATGAGCTCACTCATAAAATGGAAGCAGATAGCAGAATGGATTAGAAACCAGAATCCAATAATGTTATTTCTAACAGACACACTTGAAACAGAAGGACACATGGGGAGTTAAAATAAAGGGCTGGAGTAGAATCTAATTTGCTTCATCTGAAGTAAAAAAGGCAAGGGTAGCAATCATTATCTCAGATGAAGCAAAAGCAAAAATAGAACTAATTTAAAGAGATAAGCAGAGAAACTACATTATGCTAAAAGCTACCATGGACAATGAAGTAATCTGAAAAATTTTTACATCAAGTTTCTCTGACAAAGGCCTCATTTTTTCAAATGTATATTGAATACAGAACTAAGTGAAATTTATAAAAATAAGAGTCATTCCTCAATTGATAAATGGTCAAAGGATACAAACAGGCAGTTTTCAGAAGACATCAAAGCTATATATAGTCATATGAAAAGAATGCTCTAAATCACTATTGATTTGAGAAATGAAAATTAAAACAACTCTGAGGTACCACTTCATACCTATCAGAAATGACAAATTCTGGAGGAGATGAGGAGAAAATAGGTAAACTAATAAACTGCTGGTGGGATTGTAAACTGATCTAACCATTCTGGAAAACAATTTGGAACTATGCCCAAAGGGCTATAAAACGGTACCCCTTTGAGACACAGATATCGCTACTAGGTCTGTACTCCAAAGAGATCAGAGAAAAAGGAAAATGGCTTATAGGCACAAAAATATTCATAGAAGTTCTTTGTGTGGTGGCAAAGAATTGGAAATCAAGGGGAAGCCCATTAATTGGGGAGTGGCTGAACAAGTTGTGGCATATAACTGTGATGGAGTACTGTTATACTGTAAGAAATGATCAGGGGGGTGGTTTCAGAAAAAAAATATGGCAAGAACCTTTTATGGACTGATGTAAAGTGAAGTGAGAAGAACTAGGAGATCATTGTGCACAGTAACAGCAATTTTGTAATGATGATTAATTATGAAAGATTTGGCTACTCTGATCAATAACACAATGATCTAGTACAATTCCAAAGGACTCATGAGAAAAAAAAATGCTATCCACCTCCAAAGAGAGAACTGACAAACTCTGAGAGTAAATTGGAGCATAATTTTCTTACTTTATTTTTCCGGCTTTTATCTGGAAATATAGCTAATATGGAAATACATTTTGCATGATTTCACATGTATAATTGATATCATATTGCTTGCCTTCTCAGTAGGTGTGGAAGTGGGTTAGAAAGTGAAGAGAAATGGGAACTCAAAATTTTAAAAAAGAATGTTAAAAATAAATTAATAATTTTTAAAAGGCAAAATATACATATAACTTGTCTGCAATAGAAACTCAAAATTTCATATCCAATCTTCTTTGGCTATTATTTACATATAAAAATGGGCAGCTAGGTGGCATAGTGGATAGAGTGTAGGGCCTGGAGTCAGAAAGACTCATCTATTTGAGTTCAAATCTGGCCTCAGACACTAACTAGCTGTGTGACCCTGGGAAAGTCACTTTACCCTGTTTGCCTCAGTTTCCTCATCTGTGAAATGAGCTGGAGAAGGAAATGGCAAACCACTCTAGTATCTCTGCCAAGAAAACCCCAAATAGACTGAAACAGCTGAACACATATATGAAAATGTTTGTGTCAGTGTTTGTCAAGTTAGGAATAATTAAAAATGAAACAAAAAATTAAACTTAAAAAAAGAAGCAAATGTGACTCTAGTTAGGTTTGCAAGCTGTAATCAGCTCTGGTACAGGGTCAGACCAGTAAGGGATATCAAAGAAGATATGACAAGTTCCCTACTCTCAGGAAGCTCACTATCTACTTGAAGAAAAATGGACAAACATATGAAGCAATCAGGCTGTCAAGTAAATCAAGACTGATGGTGATTCCAAAAGTGGAATGGACAATAACTTCAATAGTTGCTTATCCTAGCTGATGGAATGTAAGTTCTTTGGAGGCAGGCACGTCCTTGTCTTTCCCTCTGCTTTCCTTCCTTCCTCCCTCCTTCCCTCTCTTTCTTCTCTCCTTCCTTCCTTCCTTCCTTCCTTCCTTCCTTCCTTCCTTCCTTCCTTTCCTCTCCTCACCTTGCCTTTCCTTGCCTTGCCTTGCATTCTTCCTTCCTCCCTTCTCCCCAGCACCTATCTCAGAATCTAACACATAGTAGATGTTTAATAAATACTTGTTGTTTAATTGACCAGTTAGGGAAGGAGGAGACCAATGGTGTCTGAAGTAGTCAGAGCAGGCTTTCTGGAGAAGAGGAGCTTGGGTTGGACCTTGAACAATGAGTATAATTTGGTGAAGGAAAGAATCAAGAGAAGGGTTTTCCAGCAAGACAAAATAACATATTTAGAGACAGAAATGAGCATAATATGGAAGGGAACATGGAAGAAGTTTGGAGACAGAGTTATCTTTCCAGCAGGATACAGGCTGCTGGATCCACTAGTCTGAGCCCCACCATCTGGTACTGACAACACAATCGAGGAGAAGACCATCTGATAAGAAAGCAGGGACCCTAAAGGTCTCATGGCTGTGCTTTAAGGCTTCTCTCCCTTCCTCCCTTGCCCCCCCCCCCCCAAACTTGGGAGCAAAGTGTTGATTCCCACTTACTTTTTGGGTCTGTAGTCTGGGATGCTCCTGTCGAGGGAGATCCGGTCACTCAGCTGCGCATTGTAACCATATTCTTCATATTTGGTTTCAGACTCATGGCTATCATCTCGGAGTGTGGCCGCCATGCCACCCTGGCCTAGTCCTCCTGGCCCTTCCACCAGACCCATGGGCTTGGCTAGACCTAAGGAGGGAAGACAAGAATGAATCCCACAAGGTAGCACTATTTCTGCCTCACACATTGGGAATGTCAAAGGAGCAGGACTTTGAAAAGGAGAAAGCTAGGCAGTGTGGTGTATGGAGTGGGGAAGGCACTAGATTTGAAGCAATATTCTTCCTGAGGCTCTCTATGTTGTAAACATAAGGAAAGGCTTCATGTGGGAGGTGATTCAGTTTGCCTGAACTTCGGGACTTAGATTCTTGGAACAACAGGTGAAAAATGCTTTCCTAGCACGTGAAACACTTTATAAATAGACTTTGTGAAGCTATGTGACATCATAACAAGAGGGCTAGACCTTAAGTTAGAAGTCTTACCCTTGGTCCTAAAATTCTTCTCTCAGCCTCAGTTTCCTCACCTGTTAAATGAGGATAATAAATAAGACACTAGCTTCACAGGATTGTTGCAAGAAAAGGGTCTAATGCTCCCAAACTCAGTTCCAATCTACCTTTCCTGGCCTATTATAGATCATCCCCACTCCTCTCACACATACACACCTTATGTGGCAGAGTGGATAGAAATCTAAGACTTAGAGGCAGAGAAGCAAGTTCAAATCCTGCCTTCGATATTTACTAGCTGTGGGATCTTGGGCATGTCATTTACCCTCTCTAGGCCTCAGTTTACTCAACTCTAAAAATGACGGGTTTTGCCTTGATGACCTCTAATATTCCTTCCAGCTCTAAATCTATGATTCTTTGGTTCTGTGTATTATACACTTCAGGCAAATTGGGCTCCTAGATGTTTCCTGAAATTGATATTTCATTTTGATCTCTGCACATTTGCACAAGCCACCCTCCCTTTCCCTCATTGTACCTGTGAGACACATCATCATCCTCTTTATCTCTAAGAAGGCTCAGCTTGGATATTGGCATTTTAGTCATTTTTTTAAAAGCATAATTCCAAATTGCTTTTCATAATTCTTGGACCCATTCTCAGATCAATGCTGAGAACCAAAGATTTTCAAATGAGGTCTGGAAAATCTCTAATACCACTGAAAAGGAGATATTAGGTTCAGCCAAAAACATGGAAACTTTTTTTAGCTTTGACCTCAGGGTCCAAAAGACTGATGTTGAACAATCCTGTCCCCCATAAGAGGCAAGAATGTGAACATTGGCTCTCGACGCTGGTAAGTTGGGCACTTTCCAATTCATGTAGAATTATTGATTCTCATAGCTGAAATGAAACTTTGCAGGCATCCAGTTCAATATGGGTGTAAGAAAGAACCTTTCTACAATGTATCTGACAAATAGCATTCAGCCTGTGCTTGAAGAGGAACTCACTACCTCAGACAGCCCAGTACACTTTGGGATAACTCTTGTCATTAGGAAGTCTCTTTGATTGTCTAAATCTGCTTCTTTGCAATTTCCACCCATACTCCTAGGTCTGCCCTCTAGGTACAAGTAGAACAATGCTAATCATTTTTCTAGATGAGACAGGCTATCAAATATTTGAGAACGGCCATAGTATCTCTGACAATTCTTCTCTTCTCCACTCTAAACATCCCCAGTTTCTTCAATAGGTCCTCCTATGGCATAAACCAAAGGCCCCTCACCATCTTGATTGCCCTCTGGAAACTCTCCAGTTGATCAATATCCTTTCTAAAACTGAGCTCCAGGAACTGTATGGAATATTTCAGAATTTTTTTCTCTGTATTAATTTATTTATTTTTAGCTTTCAACATTCACTTCCACAAGATTTTGAGTTCCAAATTTTCTCCCCATTTCGTCCCTCCCCCCACCCCAAGATGGCATGCATTCTGAATACCCCTTTGGGGCTTCCGCTTCCGGGAGCCAAGATGGCAGAGTAAAAAGGTAGTCGCTCTCACCCTCCCCTATCAACCTCTGAAAACCCAGAAAATATCACCCCATAAAAAACCCTGGAACAGTTGAACCAGAAGAAAGATGGGGTACAGCAGTACGGTAGCCCAGCTAGCTAAAGGGATTAACAGAAAAGGCCCCTCTTACCCTGGAGGAAGGGGAGCAGTACGAAACAGGAGTTGCCCAGCCAGCTAGTGGAAAGACCCACTTTAGCACACCAGGACAAGATTCTGGTGCCTCGGCATTCTACAGCAAAGAAGTCTCCCAGTACCTCAACAGAAATAAGGGAGGAAGCACTGCAAGGGGCCCCAGGCAGATAAACACGTGACAGTGGGTCTCCCACTGCCTCAGCAAAAATAAAGGAAGCAGCACTACAAAGGGCCCCAGGTGGATAAGCACCCGGCAGCATTCGTCTGAAAGGAGCTGAAGAAAGAAACCTAGAGGTGCCAAAATGTTCCAGCCTTGTTGATTCCAGCCCAACACCAGATAAGCTGTCAGAACCCTACAGCCTCCAACTGCCAACCAGGAGGAGATCCCAAAGCCCAGGTGGTCGAGCAGGCAAATGCCAACAGCTGTACCTCCGAGTGCCTCAGTGAGGGTGGGGTAACTGGTGGAAACCAGCTCAGAAAACCACCAGGTGCCTCAGCATTCTACAGCAAAGAAGTATCCCAGTACCTCAACAGAAATAAGGGAGGCAGCACTGTAAGGGGCCCCAGGCAGATTAACACCTGGCAGCACTTATCTAAAAGGAGCTAAACAAAGCTAAAGGAAAGGAAAAGCAGGCAACCTAGATTTGCCTGAAAGTCCCAGCCTTGCTGATTCCAGACCAACACCAGATAAGCTGCCTGAAACCTACAGCCTTCATTTGCCAACATAACAGGCCCCAGCACACAAAACCAGTGACCAAGACCTAGGCTCCCAACACAAGAAGCTTGGGTCAGTGCCCTCTGCTCCCCAGCAGGAGAGCACTCTCTTTAAAGGCCAGGGAATAAAGAAACACTATGAGTAAAAAGAAACATAGTATAGATTCCTATTATGAGAAGAGTGAAGATCAAGACAAATTCTGAAGAGGACAACACTGTCATCAAACCCACATCTGCAACATCAAAAGGGAATATGAACTGGTCTGAAGCCCAAAAAGCCTTCTTAGAAGAACTCAAGAAGGATTTTAAAAGTCAAATGAGAGAGTAGAGGAGTCCTTTAAAAGTACAATTGGCCAATTGGAAAAAGTACACTGAAGAAAACAAGTCCCTAAAACACACAATTGGCCAATTGGAAAAAAGTACAATGAAGAAAATAATTCCCTTAAAAATACAATTGACCAATTGGAGAAGAAAGTACAAAATCTAACAGAAAAAAACCAATATGTTAAACATTAAAATTGAACAAATGGAAACTAAAGACTCTATGAGAGAGCAAGAATCAGTCAAACAGAAACAAAAAAATGAAAAAATAGATGAAAACGTAAAATACCTTATGGGTAAAACAGCTGACCTGGAAAATCGATCCAGGAGAGACAATTTAAAAATTATAGGCCTACCTGAAAGACGTGATGAAAAAAAGAACCTGGACAATATCCTTCAGGAAATCATAAAGGAAAACTGCCCTGAAGTCCTAGAACCTGAAGGTAAAATAACTATAGAAAGAATCTATCGCTCCCCGCCTGAAAGAGATCCCAAATTGAAAATGCCAAGGAATATAATAGCTAAATTCCAAAATTACCAGATAAAAGAGAAATTACTACAAGCAGCCAGAAAGAAACAATTTAAATACCATGGAACCACAGTCAGGATTACACAGGACCTTGCAGCCTCTACATTAAAAGACCATACGGCATGGAACATGATATTCCATAAGGCAAAGGAGCTTGGAATGCAGCCAAGGATTAACTACCCAGCAAAAATGAGCATGATTTTTCAGGGAAGGAGATGGATATTCAATGAAATAGGAGACTTCCAAATGTTCCTGATAAAAAGACCAGAGCTCAACAAAAAATTTGATCTTGAAGTACAAGATTCAAGAGAGACATAAAAAGGTAAATGGGACAGAAAGATACAGTATGTCGTTAATAAGGGCAAAATGTTTACAACCCTACAAGGGAAGAAGACACTTGCAACTCTTGAGAACCATGCTAAAGGAGTATACATAAAGGGGGTGGATATAAATTGACTTTGATGTAATGATAAAAAAAAATTTAATTAAGTGGGTTAAATGGAGCCAAGTAAGTGGATTAGTCTGAGCTAAGAAAATGTACTGAGAAAGGAGGAGGCAGACAAGGGTAAATTACATTACAGGAAAACCTTTTAGAGCAGAGGGAAAGAAAGGAGGAGGATGAGCATTGTTTGCACCTTACTCTCATCAGATTTGGCTCAAGAAGGGATTAATATAATCAGTTAGGTATAGAAATCTAACTTGTACTATAGGTAGTAGGAGGGGAAAGGGGAAAGAAAAGGGAGGGAGGATAGAAGGGAGGGAAGAAGCAGTAAGGGTAAAGGGGAAGAAAAGGGAAAGGGATAATAGAAGGGAGGTGGGACCCAAGGAGGCGCTGGTCAAAAGCAAAACACTAGTGAGGGCGGGAAAGGAGAAAGGAGAAAGAAAAGCATAAACGGGGGGGAAAAGGATGGAGAAAAAGACACAGATAGTAATCATAACTGTAAATGTAAATGGGATGAACTCTCCCATAAAACAGAAGCCTATAGCAGATTGGATTAAAAACCATAATCCTACAATATGTTGTTTACAGGAAACACATTTGAAAAAGAGTGACACATACAGGGTAAAGGTAAAACGCTGGAGCAAAATATATTATGCTTCAGCTGAAGTAAAAAAAGCAGGGGTAGCAATCCTGATCTCAGACAAAGCAAAAGCAAAAATAGATCTTATCAAAAGAGATAAGGAAGGAAACTACATCCTGCTAAAAGGCACCATAGACAATGAAGTAATATTAATAAACATATATGCACCAAATGACAAAGCATCCAAATTCTTGGAGGAGAAGTTCAGGGAGTTACAGGAAGAAATAGACAGCAAAACTATACTAGTGGGGGACCTCAACCTCCCCCTCTCAGAACTAGATAAATGTAACCACAAAATAAACAAGAAAGAAGTTAAGGAGGTGAATAGAACATTAGAAAAGTTAGGTATGATAGA